TGGACTCTGAACAGGAAAAGCAATGAGGGTACTTGTCTTCTTGGAATGCTGACTAACCAAGAATATTCCGTTATAACAGCTGTTGATATTACATGCAATAATTCTGAGAAGTTTTCAGCAATGAACATTGTCTGGCCGAGACAATTGTACTTTTCCGTGAAATTCACTTTTCAGAAATAGCTTTTATTTAGGCAGACAGGTCCTCCATTTCCCGTTCGTTGTAATGACACATCATGGTAGCTGCGTATCGATTAGCAAATTGAACACTGACAGGCTTTATGGCGTATTCTTGGAAACCATACTAAACCTAAAACAGGCATTTGGAAAAAAAAACAAAAGAAGTTGCGGGATTTCTAAAATTTAAGCGAAAATGCCAACGAAACATAATTGCCACAGTAATGACACCAATAACATTATTTTTGTTTGCGTACAATGTACAATATTGATTTTAGGCTACTGTCATCTGAAATGAAATAAATTACGAATAATATATTTATTTCACTTTTCATTTCTTTGAGAGAACCTATAAATTCCCAAAGGGATTAAATCTTATTTTTTTCAATATACAACAAGCCGATGCCTTCCAATAAATGATTCTGTTTGTTCCAGAACTCTCTAGAATGATTTATACCATCCACATGTTAACATATTAAAATTTCCGTTTTAAATCGCTTTAACCCCACAAAAATTGCCCAAATTCAACCAAGAGTTGTCACCTCTCTTAAAGAAAGGATCCTGCTTTCTCTATAGAGACTAATTGGAGTTTATACAAACCTTTTGTCTCTTAGCGGACCTATGGTATCTATACACATTCAATCGGTCTCTGTACAGACTTATTTGTATTTATAAAGGCCGGAGATCTATATACGGACCAACTCGACTCTACTAACACTTGTGTTCAAAATGCAGACATGCTGATTTTTGTACACACCTGTGATTTCTATAACGACTTGTGGTCACTATGCAGGTCTGTGGTCTCTATACACTTTCAATCGCCTTTAGGCGTATTCGCTTTTTACACTTTTGGTAGTGATTCAGTCGAGTTAGTTTCTTTCGAATTGAGCATACACATGCTGTGGAAACTAAGATTTGCGACGAATAGATCAGAAAATATTTTTTTGGACCAAGTAGTGTTAAATTTCAATTTTATGTAATAAAGTTGACCGCTATCAATTTCCAATGAAAATCATATATATTAATTCGAATACATAACCAAACAAATTGATCATTTTGTCATTGTCCAATATCGCATCATGTAGAATATATGTCGATTTTCAATATACTACATTTGTATAGGACATTGTGAACGATAAAAGAAAATATTATATTTTTCTCAGAAATATTCAGTTTGCTATGAGTTTGATACATATAGTCTTCATAACCAAAGTTCAATATTATAATCCCCAAGATATTGCATTTGCCATGGGCTGGCTATGTTATGCAATTTAATAAATAGTTTGCAGTATTTGTGTCACAAAAAATTGATCTCAATTCGATACAAATTTCATTAAATTCCAGTTGATTGTGTTCCAGTTGAATATTGCGACAAAATGTAAACTCCACAAAAATACTTGGAAAATTGATTCCAATATGTCTGTATTTTTCATAAAGCCACATCAAAATGAATTTCAGCAGCCAAAAAGACAACTGCTGTCACATTCAAGAATTCACATTGTCAACGACAACAGAACAATAACCCAGACAGACAGGGAAATCCCCACTATGTGCTAAGGATATGCATCATGCAAACAACACACATACATCGATTGCACTGAGACACACACATACACACATCACTGCACAGAAACAGCTAGACACACATCAAACGTTGTTGCCACAGAAAGCATTTGCGGCTGTTGGTTGACAGCATTCAACGAGGACTGGGTATAATAGGTGGCACTCGTTTTTTTTATTATAATATTTTTTATACAAACAAATATGTAACTATGTATGTATGTAGGCATGAAGCTAAGTTTTTGGACATCTATGAAGCATTTCTTAAAAATAGTTATATGCTGAAATGGAAATATAGGAAGAGTGTTGTTTGGTAATGCACATCAACACATCAACAAGAACACATTATTTATGATCAAAGTGACTAATGGTACAACAACAATGTCAAGTATTACATTTTTAAATATTCATATTATAAAACTATTTAAAGCTATGCTAACTGCTCAGACGAACATGTTTATTTTCGTTGTGACGACTTCCTGCTGTTAGCGGTGGTTAATGTCTACCTTTTTGTGATTCGTAATTTCTCTAGGGAGGGGAAACATTCCCGTGTATATATATTTTTTTTCGTAGTGACTTATAAACGTAAATGGAGTTTAATGGATAGATTTAAATTTAAGACGTGTCATTCATTGAAATTTCAAAGAAAGCGAACGGAGAAAACTTCATTTAATGATCAACATTTGCAAGATAATGTCTAGTAAAATATTATTCACGTCCGGAGGGCGAGCATGTTTTACGTAGATTGTTGTATTCTCGCAAAGGAGAACTGTATAGATTTAATTTCTTCATTCACCTCCATATGATTTATGATGATTTTGCAAGACACTTAAAACAATTTACCGTTGTACTTTTAATGGGAATTGTAGAATGACACCCTACCAGCCACCATCAAAGTAATGATACAATTTTTATTTTATTGATTCGCAAATGAATGACAAGACAAAAAACAAGGAGAAGGATGGTTTGCTCCAGTGCCCATATTCAGTACATTAACAAGAATAGATATATATCTGATATCCGATAACAAGCAACATATTTCTAAGTATGTGCATACTCCGGAAACTTCATATCACACAAAAGACTTCAGCCATATCCATGAAAAATATAGTCAAAATCATAACCCTTAAATGTCATGCATGATTTTATCTTAGACTCCACTTGTGTAAGTGTGAAATGGGTTAACCACGTTAAGCTGTTTGCTCACTATATCTTAAGTGGAGAGACTTCGTATGAAATGTATACATCCTAATAATTGAATATGGAAAATTCTTCTAGGAATTCAGTTCTTACCATACTATTGATTATTACAAGTTATAGAGTTTCCACAAGAGAAATTATACCTATTGGAACTCAATCCGGATGATAACTATTGCAAGGTCATTTTCAAACCCTCATGCTATCAAAATCGAAAGAAAAGAGTGGCAAAAATTGCAGTTACATAGAAAAAAAATTCAGAGGTACTTTGCAAATCTAAATTTATTGATACAGAAAATTATTTTCAATATTAACAATTGAAAAAGGCGTTTAGTTCGACCAGGCCGGACTTTAGATACCCTCAACATAGAGTAGAACATGTATATAAAATCCTCAAACTACTGCAATTTAGAGTACAAAGTTATATGAGGTTATGCCAATATTGATTACATAGCTAGAAATTAGCTAATATTTCGGGTTATCATTATATGAGGGGCTATGCATTTGTAATGTTCGATATAGCTCAATTTCGAACCCAATATTTTTATTTTGTATCACAATACTTTCCCTCAGTAAGTATTATTATATATCGTCAGGTTCGAATTTTTTAAGACGATATCCTTTGAAGGCAGAATGACTACAGCAGATTTCTACATCGTTTTAGAATTCCATACTTTGTAGGGTAAAATGTGACAATTTCGAGTAACGAATATCGCCCATACTATGGTAGAATACGCCTATATGGGAATAAATCAGATAACTATTTCAACATAAAAAGAATTTTATATTGGGACTACCTCTAAAAGGGGCGAATATTAATAATTTTTGGTAGAGAGATTTGTTACCATATACGACTACAAAATACCAAATTACAGCGAATTCGGTTGAAAACGCGCTCAAGAACCACAAAATACCGAAAAATATGTAAAAAATTAGGTTTTAGAAACGATAGAATATGTAACATTACTTAAACTTGTATATCAGTTAATGTAGTCGACTTAAGCCGACAACATCGAGTTTCATACATTTTACATCCTTTACAATAACTTCTCACTTTTTTTATGACTGTTTTGCAGAACAAGCAGCAGACATCGGCAATAGAACATCGTGGAGAAATTAATTATGAACCAAAGGACAAGAAATAGACGTGACGAGAAGCTCGCCAGCAAGTGGAAATCCAGTAGAAAAACTTCGAGGGATAACTAAGCGGCATCACTGCCAACCAAACAACCAACCACTACATGCACGCAAACTGAACATAAAGTGATAATTATTCATTCATGCAACCAGTTGCAGGAAGTGCGAAATCATTGTGCGGCAGCAGCAATTAAGTTATACGCAAAGAAATCGCCATTGCCTAAGGAGCTTCTGGGAATTACGTGCAAATTTCCATCATCGTCATCAGCCCAAGCAGCCACCACTTAATCATTGTTAGAAATTCGTCGAGGGAATAGCCATAAAATTAAGGAAATCTTAATAGGCGGACGGACATATTATTGGCTGTCATTTCCATGTTCAACGGTGGCCAACAGCTGTAATTGACAGTCGACGATTAGTGAGGAAGAGAGTAAGGCTTTGGTGGAAGCGGCTGAGACCACTGCCGTCAATGACAATCAAGATTGTCATTAATCGCAGGGATTTTGCACACGCATCTATTAACGCCTCCGATTTAGTGAGTCAGTGTGTACGTGTATTTCGTCACTGATGCCATCAACAAGTTCGCGTTGTCTGTTCTTAACGCACACCATAAATTGCAAAAGGATCCGAGGTGGTTCAACAACAAGCGCATGAATGGACCACGGACTATCTGATGTCTTAAGAGCCCTCAAGCCTTTTTTAGTGCCAACCATCTAGTCACCAAGCCAGCCAGCCTGCCAGTCATCTACGCTGCCATTATCAGGGAATTGCAATTGTTTAAATACATTGACCATTCAGCCCATCAACTAACCAAGCAAGTGGAATAGTGGAGTTCAGACACTGATTGCTTTCATAGAACAGCGGTATTTTTGGAGAAGGCACAGGAAATCGGCAAGTGCGCCCATGTGTATGACTGCAGACTGACTCATTGCGATTTCCATAGATCAGTCTTGTGGTGGTGTGCAGTTGCCATTAAGTGCTCATAGTACTCCGGTTTATGTGGCTGTGGCTGGCTCCTGTCAGCGCGTCTCTGTTCGGTTAGACCTGGAATTCGAAGTGGCGGGGGAGACAGCACACGTCCGCTGGACCAGTCGCACAAATAATGAAGCCCAGCAGTAGCGTGTCGTGTGGTTGCTGTTTCTGTTGCTACTGTCGCAGTTGGCTAATGGTGCTGTTAATGGTCTCCAGTGTTATTCACGGTAAGTGAAGTTTTTGTTTTTAGTTCCATTGTTTCTTTTGACATTCGTGTGTTTTATGGGGCACTCGATGATAATTTGTATACTCTGGTTTGTCGTTTGGTGTATGGCACGTATGCAGATATGTGTTGGGTATTTATCAACGTGTTTATGCAGGATATTATACACATGTGATGAAATCGAAACCAGAACTGATTTTTTTCTCTGACTTCTAATTTAGACAATTGTAGAAACTATATGTGGTTCTCCGCCAGTTCATTTATTTATAGGAAAGTTCATTAACAAGTCCGTGATTTACCCATTGCATAGGGTACCGCTCAAAATGCTATGCAATGATATCAGTTGTAATTCTCCTCGCATACGAAAAAATAATTAATATACAATATTGAACTCCGAACTTCCGATTATAGCATTATCAACTACAATGGTCGTAAGGATTTGTCATTTAACACAACGACTACACATTGTCCAACATTCAGGTTGAGGCCAAATTTCGTGAAGCCATCGTAATACCTGTATTGAATTAAAAATGATAATAATGGTGGCAAAGAAATTATTTTTTACAAAAATATGAATTAACCTTGTTTTTGTTATTGCAACACTATGGCAAAATACCATTTAGAACTTTAATCCAAGTTTTACATTCTTAATCTTGGGATTACCTATTGTGAATGAAACAACAATTAAAACCAGCCAAATTATTGAAAAACAATTTGTTTCAAGTCTCAGTTTGAAGTAGTCTGCAGCATCGTTTTGCTAACTTGCTTTTCGTCTGCTTTAAATAAATTATATCCGGAAGTTATGAAATGGAAACTTTTGTGCGTTGGGGTGAAAGTTTGTTTTTAAGAGTTTACAAATACTTTTGTGGACATTACTTTTATGATTTGGCATTTCATTCCTCCTAAATGCTAAAATGAGCCCATGCTGAGAAGAAACTGCTTGGACCACTTTGCAACATAGCTACTAGCTCTGATACTGTTAAAATTAAATAAATTTTTGACAATGTCTTTAGGATTGTTTGTAAATTTGGACGTGAATTTATTTGCATATCTAACAGCTTCGGTGTATGGGCGGAGTGCGTCATTGTACACGTTTTATGTGTAATATCCTAATCAAATTTGTAACATTTTCAATTTCCTTTCAAGATGTGGTATACCTATCCCACTGAGTTTTTCATCCACCCTGCACAATACGTTAAACAATTTTCAATGAACGTTTTCATTTTATGCCAAGTGATATCGTCCTTGAGCTGTTGGCCGTATTTGTATTCATTATTATTTGTTCTTATTTTATTTTCTTTTTGAAAACGTTAACGAGAAGGAAAATAAAATAAAACTTGTAAAAGCAACAGTTTTCTGATACAACTAGGGGAAGGTGGATTTTGGAAGTGTCAGGAGTGAAGGGGGGAAATTCGATTTGGAAGCCCTTTTATGTCATTGTTAACATATTTAATCTGCCCCCCATTTTCTATCGCCACATGACATAAATGATGCTTTAAGGGGGGTATTCAACACTTTGTAGAAATATTTGAAAAGTTACATAAACATTTCGTGCTAGAAACTTTCACCTGACATCCGCTCAACTTCAACGCTATTGATTAGTTGTTTAGTGGTCGCAATTAAATTATATGGTAATTAGAATCCGCAACAGAACAGAAATTATATTTAAGCCATGTATAGAGTTGACGTTTATGGATAATTGTCGAAACCAATATCGAAGCCGGTTAAACATTTTGTATCCAAAGCAGACAATGTTAATTGCTGCAATTTATGCTGATAAAAATGGCCGATCTTTAAAAGTCACCCCAACAGAATATGGAAAATTGCATCAAAATTTGGTAAAATACATAATAATGTTCGGTTTATATATATTTGCAACACCTCTGATATCCCGTAAAGTATATATACATATATTGCTAATCGATTTTGACATGTCCGTCTGTCTGTTGACATCACAATAGAGCTTGCAATACTGAAAATATATTCTGGGGATATAAGTGAGAATTATACGCCCACGTGTTTGGCATGGCTCTCATATAGCGGTACCCGCTAATATTCGATGTTTAAGTAATTTAGGCACTTTTTTATCCAATATTTTTTGTAAATTAAAAATTTGGTCTCTCATTGCTTGAGGTATAAAAAGTTCGGATCGGCCGAATTTAATATGTATACTTTTTTTAAATATCCACAACGTTTGCAGCAGTTTCATATATTTTTCCTCATAAAACTCGCTATTAAACGATGGAGGAATACAACTAAATTGGTGCCAACAAAGGAAACCGATGGTAACCCTACAACTCAGTCAAAGATGAACTCCGCTCTACTACATATTACATAGAATATTCGACTCAAGCATAACAAACGGCACTTTGGTTTAAATGGATTTTTACACGCATCCTCGGAAGATGGCTGGGTAAAAGTGATGTACAAATTGAATAATTCAATTAAGGCCATTGCAGCGAAAGCAAATGGATTTAATAATGGATTTTCTTCTTGGATACGGTAAGTGACTGACAGCCACGAGGATATGGATTTTGTAATCTGTTGGAAATAGGTTGAGGAAATTTACCTTGAGTTCAAATTTAATCTTAAAGGGGTTTCAGGCGGATGTATTTTATTTTTCAGAAATCGCAAAATAAAATTATAACAGAGTGGTTTTTATTTTATTCATTGCAACAATCACGTTTCGTGAACAACCTTTTGTCGTTCAGTCACATTTTAGCAATCTGGACTATGTTTGCGAACTAACAACACTAAAATGATTCAGTTTGGTTTCACAGGAACATTTCAGCGTAATGTGTTCTTTGGTTCGTTTCTGCCAGCTCAAACGAATGCACGTGCTTGGGAGCTTGAGACAAGCTGTCGAAATCTGTTCAATAATCTCCATCTTATTCTTCAAGGACAGCGTCTTTATTTATTAAATTGTTGTCCATCAGTATTCATAGTTCTGTGGGGCGAATGTCATGCAGAATAGTTGACCAAAAAAAAAAACATAATATATAGATCTCCTACGACATCATAAGACAACTGCAGCAACAGTCAAGAGTTGTGATTTCCAACGACAGACTAAATATATATATATATATATGTTAGAACATTTTAATCTTCCAATGAACCCTTTTCTTAGGACATGACACTTTTAACGAAATAACCGACTTAGTGGGCTGTGAATGGAAACCACTGAAGGTCTTCACACACAAAACAGAATTCATAGATGCTAAAGGCTAATCTATATATATACATATATAGATATATAGACACTACCCGGATACATATATGTGAATTATCTTCTCGTAATCAGATCAAAACAAATTTAAATTTAATTTTTTTAACAGAATTAAATCCGCAGAAAAAACGAATGAATTGGTACTACAAAAACACGCTTATGTTAATTCAGACATTTCTAACAATGCGTTATTTCACTTTCAGATTTTATGTCAATTCACTCCATTCTTAGGTTCACATATGCTACCGACATTTGCGGTATAGTTATGTGGGATTCTTTGTGCTTTTAGTGTGATGCGACATGAATAACAATGGACCACAATAGAACTGCGAAACAACAAACAAAGAGAATGAACGAAGGTATCCCATACAGAGTCTGACTCCGTCCCATGACTACCATGCAGGGGAAAGTGAATTATTCGAAATGATTCGGGATTAAAGGAAAATTAGAATGTATTCAGTGTTCAACACATCGAAATAAACACAATACTTATGTAATGATGTGAGAGGATATCTATGTTACACACCCGCACCCACACCTGCACATCGATACCCACAAACAAACAAAAAGAAAAGTACTAGTTGAGCATTTTATTTCCATTTTTGCTTTCTCACATCTGAAAGATCTTCGTTCCGTAGCTGGTTTCGATTCGCAGTAGTCGAATGCGAAATGTATTGAGCATTCATTTGTGTTTTTATTTCGGTTCTTTTTTCAGAAATCATTCAAGTCAGATTACACTGACCCTTGGGAAGACCTTTTGAATTCCCTTTGAATTCGTTGTGTATATATTTTCGATAAGACGTTTTCGTTGTAAATGTTTGCGAATGTACGTATCTTTGTCGATGAGAAATTACTTGTGCTGTGCAATAACATTTGTGTGTTTCAAAATAATATTTGTGTGTGCCGAAAAGTGTTTTGTATTTGCAACATCGTATACAATGGAGTGTATATAAGTTACTGATACTCTAGCAGTTCAAGTCATATTTTAATTGGAAGTTTTTTAAATAATTTGGCACTTATAGGAATATTTTACAGGTCAAAAAGGCGAACTTTACTGCAATTAATATTTTGGATATAGCTTATATACAATTTACTCCGATTTTAGATTAACAGATAAATGTTTCAAAAATGGAAATAATTTTTAGTTATATATATATTGGCAAGATAACATAACGACACACATACCTATACCTCATGATAAATAAGGTTCCTTCGATTATTTGACTCCAGGCGGCAATTATTTTTAAATTTCAATGTATGTTGAGGTTTGGTGGTATTGTTTTGGGTCATGATATCTAAGTACTAGGATTTCGAAGTAACTAGAGAAAACGAAATTCCTATTGCAATCCTGTACACTATGTCTAAGAATATAATTCTTATGTTAGACAGAAAGTTACTTGTATTTGTGGACTGAAAGTGCACAGTATTGAGAGCAGAGAATTTGGCTATGAATAAAATCGTAGTTATTTCATATATTCCTTGGCCTTTATGAATTACCTCAGATCATTTTGTATAATTTAAATATTGCAGTAGTAACACAATACCTTATTTTATATTATTATGCATTATAGAATAATAATTTATAATAATTAGTGATTTGTTATAATTACTGATTGTCGCCCTAATAACAATTACCCCAAACGTTGAGTTCTTATGATAACGAATAACGACATTTTCATTATCTCCCTCTTATGATGTGAGATTCTTTTTTTAAATGGCTGCACTAACTCTTTCCAGTTTTTAATTCAAAATTTAATTAAAAAGAAAGTGATATTATACGGCATCGTCTAACAATCTTATGGGTCTAACTTTTGTTTTTTTCTCTCTCGTTACAGTGTCACCGGAGATGATGACAACAATATCAACAAAAACAGACACAAATTTAAATAATTACTACAAAGCCATGACTAAATTTGCAAAGTTCAATACCAAATTACCTAGTCAACCGAACGAAGTGGAAACATCATCGGCTAAACCCTCTGTGGATGCTCAGCAGAGCACCATCACAGACATATATCCTGCACTGCAAAACGATATGGCAGCCACATTGGTCACACTGCAAACACCCTTCACAATCTCGGAATCAGCAGCAGCAACAACAACAATAATTACTACAACTAAAACATCATCTCAGCTTGGACAAATTGCAATGACCAGGCAAAGTTCACACGAAACAAAAACAGCAACAACAACAACAACACTCAAAACTGAGCATACAGAAGAAGGAGAAGAAATGAAGAACTCAGTTTACAGGTCGTCAACGGACAACCCCAGTACACCTGCTCTCATCGGTGATAATTACGACGTTGTTATCCGAACAACAGATACACCAGATTCAATGCACAAATCCACAGAGACAATGGGTGAGAAAGGAACAACGACAGTACAAATCGCTCCGTTTCATGGTGACAACAAAAACCTCAAGTATCCCAGAACAGAATCGAGTTCAGGCCAACACTATGGAACAACATCAGCAGAAACAACAATTGTCGCACAACACATACAACGTCCTGAGGGCAATCATGTTGGGTTTGCAACGAATCACAGGCACAACAGCAGTAGCAACAACGAAGAAGTACAAAAGACCATCACTGGGCAAAGAATCACAGCCACTGTCTCCTCTAGTTCAAAGTTAACTAAACAATACATCGCCCAGCCCAGCACTAAGGACCAAATAACAATCACCGGCATTAGCAACAACAACAGCACTGGCAGTGGCAGTGACACAAACGCCAAAGATATGTCGGTGTCATCACAATGGCAAACGACTCACTCAGACCTGCAGTACTTGCAACACAATCAATTAAAGAGACCAGCATTTCTGGCCGCATCTAGTCAGACACTGCAGCGTCGGACGAGGCAAGCGGACGATGAGCCAATCGACAAATGTCGTTTGTTTGAAGTGGGTGATCCCGAAAAGATGGAGCTGTATAGCCCTGACTATCCGAATGTCTATCCGAAGAACATTAATTGCACGCGTGTGATTACAGGTAAGTACCTGTATTTTCCGAATGCATTGACATAAGATTGCATATGTGAACTGGATGTATGGGTGTTATGAACGAATCCGGTCGGACATAGAATCTGTTTGAACAATATTGCCAAATGAACGATGGAAATTAACAATCAAATCTCATGCTGGCAACTTGAAGACAATCAAAATGAGATTATTTTCATTTCGATAAACGCCGTAAATGGTAGAAACGCCCTTAGACGGTTTGCAGTAAATAAATTGTAATGCAGAGTTATATCCTTAAATATCAGTTGAAAGGCTTTTGCTTGGCGAAAAAGGCAGTGATAATTGGCCAGTTGATGTGAAATTATAGAGCGCCATAATATTTTATACAGGGATTAAAACTTCACAAATAATATTAAAATATTTTTTTGAAATTCATTTCTATAAGTCATTTTTTATTCTTTCTATATCTACGATTTGTCCAAGAGACCACAATTAGAGGTAAAGCCATGTGTTTTATAAAATACACCAGTATATACAGGTCTGCTTTATTTAGTGTAACTTAGAAAAAAAATATTTTAAAATATCCATGACAAGCATAGCATCTGGGTTATGTATGACATATTTGAGCAAAAGAATAATAATCCTAAATAAATGAAACAGTTAATACTGCTCATTACAAAATTCATGTATTTCCCAAACTTCTGTCGTATAGAATTTATCGTCGAAGTTCTGTTTATTATCGTATTTTTGAGATACTGCCCTTCTGGAGTATAACGTGTTTATACCATCTGCCATCGCTTCCGTTAACCTCTTTCACAATTAATGTTATCAGGTTAAATTGTTGCAATTCGATTTTAATAAATTTCTAATTTAATATTTACCACTCCCGTATCGATGCAGTACCGACATAATGAAATTAAGGATCAATGACCCGTTTTACGTGAGCGTTTACACCTTTTCTCAAATCATCGAATTGGCACAGCTGAAATGTTAACGTCAGCTTTGCGATGTAATTTCAATTTGCACAATTGCATGACGTGTCCTCATTAGTGAAAAATCAATCAAATGTTCAAATCGACACTGAGCTGTCATAAAATCTCATTAGATTTTGATATGACAATTAACGTTCAATTTACAAATAAATCACTTAAAATTCTGATGGCGGAATTTATGTCGGCTATAACGATTGTAACGTTAGCAATTGGGACATTGACATGACAATGGCTCATCTCATCTAAAGAGAGATAAAGACCGGTCCATACAAATTATTCAAAGACTAATAAGTATAAAAGCTTCGTGGACGCAGCTCAGTTGATATAACAAATGAAGAATTATTGCCACATTTTTATGTTTTATTAAAAAAAGTTTCGAGTAACATGTTGGAATTGTATTTTGAAAAGTAGCTTAGCCAAGTTGGCGGCATCCTTGTCATCGCAGAGCGGTGAAAAATGAAAAGGCCATAAATCAATATCTTGAATAGGATAGCTAACGCATTCGTCATGTGTCCCCTGATACATTGGCAGTATTTATTGAAATTCATTGTTGACTATGAAATGACACAATTCTCCACACAAACATGTGTGCGTGTGTGTGCGAAGGTGGGGTAAAAATATAATAAATTTTGAATTTGGCGTTTCGTTTCGAGTTGATGTGTAGATGCCGTGCTTAAGCCTATTCATGCTGAAATCTGTGAAAATCCAACCTTCCTCGGGACCTGCAGACAGAATTGGAAATATTCTGTGGAACATGCCCACGAACGTAGAACTTTGAGTTGCTAGTTGAGCAGTTATCTACACATGTTACACAATTGGTATTGCCATTCGCAAAAATACGTTCATATGTAGCATGTGAATTACGAATAAATACACATGTACATTCACATCTTTGCGAAAATCATACAAAATGTAAAACGTACATTGTTACTTAGGTTTAGCTGAACACATTCTACTAAATATTTCTGTACACAAAATAAGGACCATGGACTTTAAAAATATTCTAATATTAATATATTGTCTTTGACGACAAACATTATGCAAATGCCAACGAATACAAATTTATCTAAACATGGCCAATTATATCCTAAGCTTTTGGGTTACAGGGGATTTATACACTTTTCCTGATCAAAGTAACTGTCTGTGTAGCAAATTCGTTTTAGGCAATTTGAGTGAAGACATGCATCTGCCCGGTTCTCACGATTACTCTTATAATGTTGTAGATCAATCGTCGAAAATGGAGAATACCGGATCACTCTTTCTGGCAACTCCTCCAGAAAAAGTAAAAACTAGCAAAACTCATATAAATAGTATCCGATTTTATCCATCATCGATATGCATATCATAGACATGCTACAGAATATTGTACAAATGTCACAATAAATAACATTGTCTGAGTCGATCTAGACATGTGTGTCCGTCCGTCCGTCCGTCCGTCCATCTGTCCATTATAATTTGTAAACACGATACAGGCCACAGTTATGGACCAATCTTCTCGAAATTTTGCATGTAGGATGGGTTCTGGCCAATGAAGACCCCTATTGTTTTTGGAAAATATCGGTTAATTTTTAGGGGATGAAATGGACCAAAAACTTTATTTTTGTCGTGTTTTCTGGCCGCTGCAGAGGCCGCAATTATGGCTCAAACGCCGCGATTTTTTGCATGGAGAAGGGGATCGGGTCAAAGAATAAGCGTGCCTGTTTTGATAAAGATTGGTCAATATTTAGCGGGTCAAATGAACCCTGACTTTTGTGTGAAAAATGACAAAATTTGTATTCTATAGCGTATATATTTACCCATGAAGAACAAAGACCCGAGAAGTTGATAGCGCATCCAAGACGAGTGGTTGACCTTTAAATTGATACCAATTATATGGTCGTATGTACTCAGATGTGGGAGTTACACTTAAATGTTTACAGGTGCTTACGTACTGATATATTATTTAGTAACCTATTACACACTGTAGGGCTGATATATTTCCTTGAAGTTCCAGTAGTGGTCAAGGACCTTTAAATTGATACCAATTATATGGTCGTATGTACTCAGATGTGGGAGTTACACTTAAATGTTTACAGGTGCTTACGTACTGATATATTATTTAGTAACCTATTACACACTGGAGGGCGGAAATATAGAGCTGATCGCTATGAAATGTTCCTTGAGGTTCCAGTAGTGGTCAAGGACAACAAATACAGGTGCTTACGTACTGATATATTATTTAGTAACCTATTACACACTGGAGGGCGGAAATATAGAGCTGATCGCTATGAAATGTTCCTTGAGGTTCCAGTAGTGGTCAAGGACAACTAATATAATTTTCGGTGATGATCAGATAATAATTTTGGGATGGAGTGGACCGAAAACTTTTTTTCGAGTCGATCTATAGGCCACAATTATAAGCCGAACATCACAACACAACCCACGGTCAAAGGAATCTGGACAAGTAATTAGAAGGTCTGTGCTGAATATTAGTAATATTCTGAAAATATGTCCGTATAATGAAGAGGTGCTATTGACCTCTAATCGGACAAGAGGGTGCAACTATAACGAAATTTTGTCAGGCTCGGAATAAAAATCCGCAGAAAGTTAGATTTCCGTGATAGTTGTGTAGGGTATCGTATGGTCGGCCCCGTCCGACTATACTGCTCCGCTCACTGGTTATAGTTACAATATTGGGTCGAAACTTAGACTTACGTTGAATTTTTATTTCATTGCCATAACAAAAAAACAAGGTGAATAAATAATAAATTAGATGTTAACAGTAAAAAAACCAGTAAGGAAAGCTGTAAAGTCGGATGGGGCCGACTATAAGATACCCTTCACCACTTTGCGCATATTCAACAGATGGAATCCTAACAGACGTAGCATTTTTGAAGGACCATTAACATAAAATAAAACATGTCATTCTGCAACCTATACTAAATTTTGGTCAGATATAGAGTTGCTTCTTACAATGCATTGCAATGGGACAAAATTATGTAAATAAATTTAAAGCAAAATATCGAAATCTAAAGAGCCTATATAGCCAAAAAAAGCATATGTCAATTTCCTTATTCGCATGTTTTCAACTTTCGATATTTTAATATTTCACCCGACCGATAGTTATTTACTTTATTATTAAGTTATATATTTAGCATTTAGCATTAAGACCATATTCAACGACTAGCATGAAATATTTCGTCTCGGTTAATGGTAGTTACATGTGGTGCCGGTCTCGTATTTTAAAGACATTGCAATAACAACCGTTGTTGCCAAAACCCCTGCATCTCGTTAACGGCTTTTCCACACATCATAAAACTAAGATGTCTACATTTTCCGAACCAAAGCTTTGTAGTACTTCGAGAAAAAAATCTTATAACATACACACAAGTACATATGTTTATATGAGCCTTACATCTGGTTAAAATAGAGGCAAGGAAAACTACATTCAAGATTACGAACGTTCATATTACTCAAGAAAATGTTCCGCAGACATGATGTGTTATGTTAAGCAATTTTCAAATATTCAAAAAGTTTCAAACATATTCAGACTCAGTAGTAATTGTAGTGCGAATACATAAGTGTGTGTGTGTGAAGTGATCCTTGAAATATGACTATTTACTTCGTTAATAGCAGTCGATAACACCTCTTTTGTGCCACAAATAACAAGTCAAAGTTCAGAAGTGAGTCGAAGAAAACTTTCAAATTTGAAGTGGAAAAGAAAGGGAAAAACCATACTAAGTATTTAGTACAAAATACATGGAAATTGAACAGGTATTTGGCACCTTACGCACATTTAATGTAGGCGTTGGATAAACTTGCGTAAATTTGTAATTAAGTTTATCTTAGCAATTAAAACTTATTTCTCGTTTCGCACGTAATTAATTGAACACTTATTGATGGTCTGGTGCCAAGGAAGAGGTTTGGTCCTATCGAAAATGCACGCAACGTATTAGAAGCCCTATGTCCCAATACCATTAATGTTTGTGTTGAGTCACAACTCTGATATTGGCAGTATAAATTATGACATATTAAGAGAATTGTCTTAGAATATTGTAGAGTATACATTACATAAAACTCTCACACAAAACAAAGTACGGACACCGATTTAAGAAGCACATAAATTGAGAACCCCGAATTATTGAAAAATTCAACAAACTGTATATGACACAGGATGACACTCTAAATTGTAAAAATATAGTTTCCACACGATGAAATATACATTGCACAGAAAATGTATATAGACAATGAAAATAATAAACTGTAAGTTATTGAAATGTGGACTTTTTTGAAAAACGGCACAAATATGAACTGTGTGTATAGTTAGTATTTGTTTTTGCGTTTTCAGAACCCCAAAAGTTAGGAAAATCTTATTAGTGAAATCCAAAGCGCATTATACTATTGTTCGGCGATAATTTAAATGTTCTACTATTTCGTATTGTGTAGTTCATGGCATAATAACACAAGGTAGTCTCATGCAGTCATATGTTTCCAATTTTTTCATAAATTTAGTTTTATGGCATTTATTTTTAATTTTATTCGACATATGACTTATATGAATTCCATATTAAGGAGGGTCGCCATTATCAATTTCTCAAATGAGACTACCTTACATAGTTATGCCATGTGTGTAGTTTTAAAATTACCTCCACTTCTCAATATTACTAAATGATGTATCCAACAGAAGTCTATAATTTGAAAACCCACCCAACCTATTTTACGGCCATCTTTTTTATATTTTTGCAGCACAAAAGGGACAAATAATTCGCCTGGATTTTCGCAATTCATTTCACATAGAAGAGAAGGAGGACTGCAAATTCGACTTTTTAGAGGTAAGTTGTTAAACATGATGTGAACGTAATAGTTGGTAAATAGCACCATGTGCATTTTAAGGCATATTGCTAGAGGGCAAATGTTTATTTGAATCATTCCATATTAAAGCTGAAGGTTTGTGATATAATCCCCCCATCACAACACATGTTGCAACATTCAATACAGAAATTTGTTTTTATAAAAACACTAACAATAGACTATTACAGTGGCCAGTGTCTGTATTTCCATAAAATCTGAGAGTTATAAAATTATTGTAGAGTAGTTTTTACGCTACAACGTAGCTTTCTTTTGGGCATGTTTATTTGTGAAAAATGCTAACGTCTCAAACGTTTTATTGCGATATTTGTTAGCCAAGTTTCTGTGTTGAACTTAAGATTTCTTTTTTTGTCCTAACCATTTGCAAGTTTCGGCTTCATTCAGTTTCCTTTTACAGATAACTAGGCAAGTTGTGTGGTTGTGGAAGATATGATTACCGGTTCAAATGAAGCAGCTAAAAAGTCTGCTCACAAAGTTGTCATCTTTACAATCGTTGAGTGGGTCAAGAAATCCTTGAAGTAAAGCGGCATAATATTTTCGTTTGACTCAACCTTTCAAAGGATTATTCTTGTTGTTAGAAAGTCTTAAGGAACTGAAGCAAAGTTGCATGTCTCGTTTGTCGGTAATGGCATTTTGCGTTAAAGGATTAAAGGAGCTCCCTTCAATGTGTCTCACTGTGCAACACAATTGGGACAAGAGAATAAAATTGCTGCTATCACAACGTAGTTCTTGCTCAACTTACTTTGCAAAGTTTGATTATGGAAACTACCAATTGCGATGGGATCCAAGTTATAATCAGTTATTCGCACTATTTAAACTTTGCCTAAGAGAATCACTTTATCGTAAAGACCATTGTATCGTTTTAATTAGTTGATTCTTTACATTCAAACATATTTCAACCAGGAATATATTTTACTATATTTAAATGCATGTAATTTGTTAAGGGATAATGTGATACACGCCCGCTTTCTACTATTAATTCGGCTGTATAACTTAATATTCAACAGCCAAAACGTCAGGTATTTTGTGTTTGTCACGGCTTTTATCGAATATGAAACATTCAAAAACTTAAGTCAACAACTATTTCTAAAGAATATTTTCATTTGATATTTCTTCTTTCAGATTCGTGATGGACAATATGGTTTCTCAAATCTAATAGGGAAATTTTGTGGAACAGATTTCCCACCGGAGATTACATCAAAAGAACGATATCTTTGGCTGCATTTTCATTCAGATGAAAGTATAGAATATTCTGGCTTTACGGCTGTTTACGAATTTATTGACAGAACCAGAGACGGTAAGTTTTCGTGGGTAAACATTTTCGTCGGTTATTGTAAATTTGTATTTCCAAAATGATCAATCTTGGTAACAAGTTTATGACGAGCTGTTCATTTTATTGTGCTCATTCAAAAATTTGAATAGTCCTTAAGGATTACAATACGTTTATTTAAACTAGCACTTATTTTAATTTACTTCGATTTACTTAGGCCTTTTGTGTAGTGTAGATTATCTTTAAACTTCATACGACTTGATTTGTGTGTGTGTGTAATTTTCAAAGAGTAAATACAGGTCCATATAAATATCCATATCAGTTGACAATTTACAAATGGCAGTCACTTAAAAAACCATAAGCACTGAGTGGAACATATTTTATTGGGTACTTTATCAACTCAATTCTCCGAGCAACATATCAACACTCACACTCCTCAGCATCAGTGTATGTGTATATTTCACACACACACACAATTGTGTATGTTTGATTCTCTGTTATGAATGTTTGGGACCAGAACAATCGTCTACATTCACAGAATCTTGACAAATAATGGCAAATCAACAAAACGATCAAAAGTAATTCCCTCAATTCATTGGAAATGCCATTCATTCAGTGATAGATAGACAAATGCAAAGGAATTCGTAAAAATTTGCATTTCATTTTTTGAATTTATATTACACACACATACATACATAGATATATATTTATATATGTTTTTTAAAATTTTAACGCATATGATTTGGTTTGTTGTTGTTGTCTTTGCTAACATTGTTGTTGTAGCTCCCAGTACGGATTTAAATTGCACAATTGAAAAGGGCGGCGACGAGGGTTTTGTTAACAGTACCGATATACCACAGGAGATCAGAGATACCGTTGCTGCCAATAAAATTGCCTTAGATTGTATGTGGCGTATTCAGGTGCAAGAGAAGTGGAAGGTAAGTCCTCAGAGTTGGAAGCAATCATCAACAAATTGAAACGAATAAAATTTCAATTATTATTTTTCATATTTTATATTTCCATTCACACACACACACATATACACACATACACCATGCATAGACAATTTACACTCTCATTCGCATATTCGCACACACACACACCCACATACACACGTTTGCTGGCGAAACTACAAATTCCCAAAAATCCTTATTGATTTGTATGCTAATTTTTTACTACTTTTTTCTCCTCTCTTTTTCTTCTTTTGACTGATGTTGTCTCCAACAGATCCAAGTGAAATTTATAGATTTCAAATTATCCAAACCCAATGACTGTGACGTGAATTTCCTGGACATTTTCCCAGAACAGACAGTGATGCCCCTCAGGTGAGTATTGAAGCAACAAAAATAATATTTACCCAATTTAGAGGCGTTCGCTTGTCTGGCCCTCCAGGCCGAAAAATGAAAAGTGAAACTGAATGTATTTGATTTGTCAAATTTCGCATTTTATAAAATGCGATGGCTTCATGCATTGATATCATTAAATAGAATCCGCAAACTCTGCACCCTATAATATGTCTCCAGAAATATGAAACAATGTTAAGAAAAATCGTACTAAAAATGAAAACATCGGAGATATATTAAACACAAGTATGATCTTTCTGGATTTCCAGAAAACTGATTTTTTATCAATAAAAATAATAAATATTAAAAACAAATTCGTTTACCCGATGCAGCCTAATGTAATATATTAGGCACTCACATCAACATTCAATCAAATTCAATGCACAGTTACACTTCAAACCTAAAAACCGTTTGGATTCATGCCAGCCAAGTGCCACTTCATTTCGGAACTATTGCTGAAACAGCGCTGACAACTTTTACTCTGGCGCCCAAAGGCATTGAAGCTTTATCGTTGCTGTGATTGATGTGTAAGCAAATAAACAGCAAGCCTTGCCGTCGAACTGTTGCTCCGACTGCTGCAATTGGCTTCCAATGTAATTGTATTTACAGGCGAATCTGAATTTCATTTAATCGATGCTGTTAACCGTCGCTCCACAAAAGGGCATCGCCGTCGTCGTCGGCTCTTGTGGATGTATTTGACCTTTTGTCCCTGGAGACCATGAACTAACTAACTAACAAACGATTGCATTCAACTACAAGAATTTGTATGTTGAACTGATTGGAAATAATCCACTCTCTCACTCACTGACTATGAAAAATGTTCTATTTATTTCATCTTTGTTTTGTTTGTTTCCTTTTTCTGATATTTTTGTTTTGTTGTTTTTTCTTTCAGAGTGAAAAACTTTTGTGGCTCTGCCGGTGAGGGTATTACATCGGAGTCCAATATTTTGCATATGCGGTTTTATGCCGAGCAACAGGCCGTAAACTCGACATTTTCCATTTTGTATACCGCCTTCCGAGATCGAGGCAGTGGAGGTAAGTGTACTTTCCCCTCGGGTACTCATTGTGTTGGCGTTATTTAAGAGTGTGTGCAAGTGAATATCTGTTTGTATCACTATGGGGAAAAATCAATGGAGAAGACACAATTTGCCATTGTGTTGTAAAACGTTAATATGTGTGTGTGTGTGTGTGTGCGTATGAATGAAGTGAATAGCTAAAGAGAACTTTTTGATATGGTTCAGTGACGACTTTGAAACACTGCGTTGCATCTGCTGCTCATTTAAGTGGCAAATACGTTGAAGAGGACAAAGTTAATCTGCACAAACATGCTCTTTGAAGAATATCGCATTACAATTAATCAAGACTGAATTTAATTTCGAATTTGAATTTAATTTGTGCTTATTGAACAACATTTTTTAAAACAATGCCTGCAAAAATAATACGAAGTTTTTGAAGTGGTGCCGCATAATATCAATTCATATTTTCGTTCTGGTTTACAGCGTGTGCAGAAAATGAATACGACTGTGAAGATGCCACCTGTATTGCTGCCGATTTAAAGTGCAATCAGCGAGACAATTGCAAATTCCGCTGGGACGAGGAAGGCTGTGAGGTATGTATGTAGGTAGCTACACATTTATGTTACAACAATTCATTTCTATCGATATTAAGCATCATGATAATAATAACTCTTTTGCGAAATACGAATTGGAATTGGTTTTGAAATTGAAATAATGTACTCAAATTGAAAGCTTTTAATCATCATACAATGAATGCCATACAATTGTTGTTGAAAATGGCTATAACATGAGGAAATAAACGGCTAAAGTTAAACAAATTTCACTGGTTTGTATGTGTATGTGTGTTGATAAATACAATATTGATCAAATCCGTTAACGTACTTAATTAACGTGTGCAGCATTCCAATAAATCAATAATGTTTACATTTAAACGAAAATAGATTTCCATAACTAGTATGGCTAAAAGCTATTGACAGGACTGCAAGTTTAATTTGATAATAATATATTGTATTTTGTTTTTAAATTCGTAAAACCTTGAAACTCATAGCCATTTTATTCCCAACGGCCTCACAATTTAGTACGAATTTTAAATGTGTTTTTCTTATTTCGCCTACAACCGCTAAACGTGGCACAAGCTATTAGATTAATATTAGCAACACCTGTTAAAAGACAATTTCTTGCCTCAGGATGAACGCCGACAAAGTTTCAAGGTAATATATTTATGACTTCTAAGAAACACAAAACACAAATGATGTAAACAGTAAAAGTTGTTTATTTGTATAGCCCATGAAATTAATATTCAAACAAATTTATTTACAGAACAACTGCAATTAAAATCGAAATAAACAAAAATACAATTTTAGCCACATAAAAGTAAATGAACAGAACATTAAAGGAAATCTTTGAATTTCTTTACATAGAATTATAAAAAGTGTTTAAACACTATTCGAACGCCATAAACTATCCCAAACTAATATATTTTCAAACGAAATTCCCAAAATGTAATTCTGTTTAATTCTTATTCATTGAAGTTGTCCAACAGACAATGTAAATTTAACAGCAACATCATATCTTTCATCTACATATTAGTTGGGCTATATAATCTGATGATTATCAAAATATAGCCACCTTAATAATCGGCATTTTATGATTTATTAATTTGCACCTCTATAGTATATATGTATATTATCACAAAATATTATAAATTTCCTAGATTTTCGGTTTTCACGTTATGCCAATCTAATGCGCCTTTGTAAGTCAACATAAGCTACACAATGTTTTCTTAACAAAGGTTAATTAATATCTGTCCAATTGACATTTGGTATATCCTTTAATGTGCAAAAAGACCTATATTGAAAGTGTCTGTTTCGAGAACCAGAAATATGTAATGGGTATTTTAAAATGTAATTTCGGTATACATCCAATACAACAAACATTCACTCATTTGCGAAGACTAATTATTTTTCACATTTGTCATACTTACATTCTCGCTGCCAGTCGAGAACGCGAACTAATGTGTTAACGCTACAGCACTTTTGTAACCACCTGTCGGAATTAACTTCGTGTAAATTACATAAGCCTGACAACTGTTTGGGTGAATTCGTCTAAATGAGACTGTATCATTTTGGCGAGTTCATGCTAACTGTTCGTTTAGAAGCTGACAGGCCGTCAAGTTGTTCCAACATCAGACAAGGATGCCGGCACGTCCACATGGAATGCTGGCAAAGGAAAACACGTACCCCAGGAAAAACAAACAAACAAAAGTCAGCAATGTGAAATTGCTTTGCCGCAAATGAATAGGGTGAGAATGTGATAAAATGCGGTCACCCACATTTATAAATGTATTGCCGTTCGTTCTGCTGTGTTCTCTTTTATTTCTTTCGTTTCGAAATACAATTTCAATTCCTTTTCGTATTCGGATTCGTATTCGTATTCCAGTGACAACAATTTATTTCAATTGTATATCTACTACGTGTTACATCCTTTTTCTAAACGATTTCATTTTATTTCTTCCCCTTTCCTCTCGCTTCCAGCCCGAATCCAAAGGACAATCGGAACATATGACTATTATCATCACAGTATTTGGTTTGATCCTGGGCGGAATGGTCATAACATTCCTCGTAAATTGTGTGCGCAAAATTATGCATGACCAGAAGATTATACGGGTAAGTTATCATTTCATATCGTCTGTAGATATCCCCGTGTGTATGTCTGTCTGACTGTCGTCTGTACGAACTTCCCCTACAATATTTGTAGATGTATGTTATCCGGCATTTGTATCTGTATTTGTCAACCTATTAGGGTATCACAGCAAACAGACGCACGTATATTAACATCAATATATATATATATATAAACACAATGAGATATGAATATGGATTGGCCTGCCTTGCCTTGTCTTGGCATTGAATAAAATCATTTGAACATATTATTATGTTTATGTATCATTGTGCTTTTGTAGTGATGTCTTCAAAACTATTACATTTTACACATTTCCAGATAGAATTCTAGAGAAATAATAAAATAAAATAGTTGGAGTTAATGGTCATTAAAATATTGTGTATATGGTCATATGTGGCTACACAATTGACCACATCTCCAACAATGGTCCTTGGACGAATCGACATTGTTCAAATATTCTTTTTATATTATGATTTCTTGAATAAAACTCTTAAGTTCTTTGGACTAAAATTCCAATTTTTAATATTAAAATGTTTGATTCGGGATATTTTTGTATATTACAGACAATGTCTGTGTATTTATTAGTCCACACATAACCACTTTCTTTTGTATTTGCCCATTATGGTGCAAATAATGATAAATACTCCCCAAGGTATTAACACATTATTTTCACATTTATACAAATTTGAATATAATAATTAATTCAATATAGTTGGAAGTGCCCAAATTGAAAATAATGAATATATATACAAGTTTATGTTTGTAAACCTATATTTTACCACAATATCGCTTATATTAAACGAATTCTTTTAACTATGCAATCCATTATTTTTGTTTCTCATGCGAGACCACCCAATACTAAATGTGTATTTAAATTATTCGACGTTTAGAAATAAAAGCACTGTCTTCCTATGTAGAATGGTAAAACCTTTGCACCACACATAGACATAGATAGTCGATCAGTAGTGTGTAGTCCTCGAATTAACCATTTACTTTGAAATCAACTTTCGTTAAATTTCACTCCACTGTGCTCACATTTGCCGTAAATAAAGTTAATATTTATTTTAATTTTCTTATCAAAAGATAATTGGGCGTTTATGATGAAGACACTTTTCAAAACTAAATAAACGCACTCGAATAATTTTAATATTATTAATAAATTAAGGCTTACAAATATCGTCTTGTAATATTAGTCACAAAAGAACAAACTATATAATTAATTGTCAAATTTTATGTTTATAATATTGGTCAAATATATAAACATACAGAAAATTATGCCAATACACATAATTATGAAAGTTTAATTTTTAATTTATCGACAAATATTCCAGTTTTTACTTAGTATGCCATAATTTGATAATGATATATTTGAAAATGCATAACATCACACACACACATCAGAGTGTGTGTGCTTTCCATTTTATTTTTATTGCATTGTATTAGATATTATACAAATTCAATATTATACATATTCAAATTGCAAATAAATTGCAAAATATTGAATTGATATTATATTATTGCATCAATGACTTTGGAGAGAACACGATTTAATTTAAAATCAATCCAAATATATTCATAAACTTAAATATGATATATTAGCCACACAATGCTAACATCAAATAATAAAAAAATAAAACAAAAAATTATTAAAAACAACATAAGGAAATCGCATTTTCTTCACACAATCATTTCATTTTTCTTTGGACATACAAACTATATATTCGAATTTCGACTATTAAGAACATCGATGTTGGCTAATTTGTTTTGAATATCCCAGTTTTAGTTATTAATTTAGTATTTAATTTGTATTTTATTACAAAATATTAATTTTCTATTTTAAACATAAGCGAATATATAGAAAAAGCCTCGAATTTTATATATTGTTTGCCAAAGCCTTCATTCGAGTATGTACACCTTGATGTGTGCGTACCGGTGTATCGATTGGCCTCATCTTAATTTTTTTTTTTATAAAAATAGTGTAAAGTTCAACAATTGTATAAACATTCGAACTTGTGACCCCTTACACCCCTTAAATACAAATATTACGTAGAGCGATGTGTGTATCAAATAGGAATCTTCATTTGCTATTCTTCAAAATGTTGAACATTTTTGGATGGAGTTTTTGGGAAGAATCTTGGCTTTCAATCTTCAAAATCAGTTACTCCATTCGCAGGTTATCAGCAAGGAAGACAGATGGAAATGCATTTTGAATTTAAAACTGATATTTCGATTACGTAAATTTTTGATCATTTGACATATTGTATAACAGAGGATAGGTATCTGTCGGCAATACTGACACCTTCTAATTAGTTTTCATATATTTATGATTGGTCAAAGTTTAAAAAATAATTCTTTATAAATGTGTATAGGACAAACATTCAAGACCTACAATACAGACGACATACAAAAGATAAATAACTAATTATAAAATATTTCCCCACTACATCCCCTTTTAGCATTTAATTAAAACTACAAATTTAAATTCCAGTGAAAATAACAATTTCACTTTAAAATATTGTGAAACATATTTAAAATGAAACCAATCATTACTTTTGTATTCTGCAAATACCGACGGGTAAATTTGAGCTTTTCAAAAGAACCATGACCGAATTAAATTTACTGCCCCTACTATCCCGCGGATTCTTGTCTCCATTGGTCTATCGATTTAATTTGTTTCCTCATCGCCAGTTTGCTTTGATGATGCCCCGGGTATATTTGTTCAAAATTAAAACAAACTCGGCCAAAAGGCACAAAGAAAACGCTAAAGCTAACGTCAACAAAATACCAAAACCAGACAACATGTTGTTGATGCGGACGTTGATGGGGTGAGTGAGTTTCACAAAATATTCCTTTCGAACTTTTTAATTGAAGTCAATATAGTTGTCGGACTTGTTTTGTGGTTAAAGCTGTACAAATTGTAACTTTAAACTGAAAATGAAATGTTGCAAACGTTAGACCATCAAGTTAGAAGAGATGACTAATAAACGAGTGAATTTTTCTAGTGTTGAAAAATTTAATTGATAAAACTGAATCGGTTTTGTATATAATTAAACTAAGTCACAAAATTGGGGTTTCAGTCTCTAAAAATTTGTAAAATTGGTGAAGATCCTCATGGAGATGCTGATGGCATATTGCTTGTCTATCCCTTATTTAGTATTGCAGATTTATTTTATATATGCAAGAAATCTATTTGTAACAAATCCTTTTGTTGGTATAGAATTATTAAATTATTGCATATTTATTAATCGATATAATATCGATATAAGTGAACAAATAAATGAAATGTTTATGTCTCAGTGGAAGCAATTTTGATAAGGTTAACTCTATTCTGTAAATTCTCATCCTCTTCATCACATTACTGTGATTCACTACTAATTTTAAAATTTAGAAGCTCTTAATTCTGTGTACGGGTTCGATTTGTTTTCAATAACTGTTACAAAATTACATTTCATTGTCAAAATTCTCGTATTTCGCAGTATTGTGCGTTTGAATGTGTGTGTGTGTATGTATGTTTGTGTTGTGTGGTTTCAAAAAGGTTGTCAAATGAAATTATTCATCAAACGGAAAAAAAGGATCTTCTAGCTACTAACTGACTTGTTGTGTTTATTTCATTACAAATAGCAGTGTTTACAATTCAGTTAAAATGTGTGGAAGAATATGTGTGTGAGTGTGTGTGTGCGTTAGTATGTGTGCAAACTGTTAGCTATGCTTACATCCGGTATTTTGTTTATTATTGTTGTGTAGATATGCATGTGTGGAATTAAATTGAAATTGAAGGGCTTTTTGATGTTTCCAAACACACAATGACTGTTACATTGTAACGAACATCAAATAATCAATTTTATTTTGGGATTACCCAAATACCGAAATACCACAACACACAGAAACACTAACGAGCATGACGACGAAGACAACCCAGGCAAATTGGCAAAGCAACAAGTTTGATTAATGTTAACAAGTAAATAACTGAGGGGGATTTTTCAGTAAAGCTGGAAATCTCTGAAATTAAGTTTTAACGCTCAATAAACGTTAGTAGGTTTAAACCGCCCGTCCCAAATTCAGACAACCGCAACTTGATCCGACGAATGGGGGCGTAATTAAAGTAATCCATTAAGGGTGAGGGTAGGGCATGTAGAAACCAACCGTACACTGTTCAAGAGTGGCCGACAACACTTGCATGCATACTCACTAAACAATGGTGGAATTTTAATGCATTTCAGGATATGTATGTAAGGATTGAATTACATACTTTATACACTTTAAAAATGTACAAAGGGTTAATAAACTTGGAACCATTTTAAACAAAGTAGATGTTGCATACTGTAAAGGTGGACTTTTTAAACTTTCCTAGTTATATGTATTCTAGTGTATATTTTAAATTTGAAGCGCAAAATTTGAATTTATAAAATTTGTGAACTATATCTTTTTCCGCAATTTGATATTAACCTATTAAAATTTCGTTGAGTGCATCCTTCAAAAAAAAAAAAAAAAAAAAACATTCGCATGACTATGTACTTTTTATGATCACATCAACGAATATTTTTGCCTCATGTAACCGGTCGTTAGTTAGTTCCGTCTTAAATTTCACTGACTGTCATATGCAATTTAAGAAGTCGCTGTCACGGCGCATCCTTTCAAATGTCATTTATGAACATCATCTATTAAATTCCTGCAACAGCTCCCTCGCGACAAGTATGAATTACATATTCGTCGTAGTAAATGTGTGTCTGTAGGTCCTCGCCACACACGACATACGAATGTGAATGTGTCACACTAACAACTGGGCCAAACATGTCCTTACTACTCATCCGTCCGTATGTCAGCTATTTCTGCCTGACGGCATATCTACAGACAAACACATGTACGTATGTATGTGTGGGCATGTTCTTTACGCAAAATACATGGTTACATCGTCTGTGTATTATTATTTTTTATTATTATTTTTGGTATCTGCATTGTGCTTTCTTTGCATTCGGAATTCGAC